ATGATAAATATATTATAATAAATAATATATTATATTATTATATTATTATTATATTATTTATATATATATATATAATTATATATTATATATATAAATAATATTATTAATATTATAATAATATATTAAATTGAAATTCAATTGAAAATAATAAATAATTTAAATCAGAACATCACTTTTTATATATACATAACAAAATATTTTAAAAATCATCAAAATCTATGAATATATACTGTACAAAATGTATTAAATGTATTAAATGACAAATCATAAGTATTAAGGTTGCAGACTTCCTCCTCTTTTAATATAAATACAGTCATATTTCATTAACATAATAATGAATTCTTTAGTTGTGTTTGAATTTCACATTTACTGTACCGCTATGCACAATCGCAATCAGTAATTGAAATATGAATTTCATTTTATAAAATGTCATAACCGACCGTTTTATCTCGAACTTGATATTCGAATTTATAAATTGCTGCATATATATTCTTACAATATTAATACTGATAATTGAAATATTACAGAAATATTCATTTTCTGTTTATACAATGTTGCAGTAACTAAATATTAAATTGCAGAATTTAATAAGGAAGTAATCATAAAAAAGTTGCCGCCAAGAAAATTTCACTTCTTAATTAAAAATACTATCACTGCGATATTATTTTTAGTAGATATTAATTTCTATATTGAGCTATACTTCTGCCGAGTTTAAAAAATCATCGAAACACTGAAGGTCATTTTTTATTGAAATTTGTTTGAACAACTATTTGTCCATTTATGAACGTCAGATTCATCTTTTGGATGTTAGTAATTATTGATATATAAGAGAATTACCTGGGATTCAACTTGTATCTGCGTCTCCAAACGACTTTTCTCAGCCTTGATGGTCTCTATTTGGTCTCGTAGGTCGTTTATTTTCGCTTCCATTTCGTCGAAACGTTGCTGCACATATAAAGTATTGTTCTCGTCAATAAAACTCGACAATAAATCGGCAGAACGATTTATTTGTAGAAAAAGTTGTGATTACAAAGCATATGTATATATATGTACAAATTTATAATGCGTGCGAATTAAACGATGGGGAATTTAAATATCCAGAAATGTGATAAGCGCGTGTGTATGTGCATGTGTGTAACATCATTTAAAGTTAGGGAAGTGGAGGGGAATTAAAATTTCGGTTTTCTTGACCAACTGCGTGGCGATACAAGGGTAACGATATCTGGCCCCTAAAAGGAAAAACATAGATCGAGTTTGTAACTTTACTTCCTCTGAGTCTTAAGAAATTTCATTTAGCTAGATAATTCAAAAATTTTGAAATCGTGCAAATGTTAGATTAGTCTATTGATTACACCTCCAAAGGTGTCAATATCTTAACTATTATTAGGCAGTGTATTGTCTTAATCCTTGACTGCTAACCAGTGATACCTTTTTTAAAAATAGTGATAGAAAATATTTACTAATATACCGTTACAATAATTGAATTTTTGAATTGGAGAAGCTATCTTGAGATATAATGATTAACTAGAGGATCAAGATTGAAGTAAATCATAATCAAACATACAATTATGAAAGTCACTACATTCTAGAAATATATATATACATATATGTATATACACATTTGACCTACCTT